GTGTGTGTGTGTGTGTGTGTGTGTGTGTGTGCCTGTTGTGGCTTTGTGTACTGCAGGCATGAAAAACCCTGGGGTTAAGTGCGTGTCCATCCTACTTTATCATTAAGGGTCCTCTTCATGTGGATGCTGCAAGGGCACTAAGTCCTTTGATGTCAGTGGTTCTCAAGCTTTCTAAATCTCAACCTTTTAATACATGTTCATATGTTGTGCTGACCCCCAAATCATAAATTTTTTTCTGTTGCTTCTGATTAACTGTAATTTTGTTCAGGTAAGAAATTGTAATGTAAACGTTCAGGACTCCTTATTTCAGATCCTTGGGAATAGGTCGTTTGAGCCTTCAAGGGCTTTTCCACCCCTTAGGTTGAGAGAGAACATTTATTCTAAGTGCCGAGCCATCTCTCTAACCATGCTGATCTTCTGATATCTTTCATATGTCCGGATGTAGCCTAGCTTACCCTTGAACTCTCTCTGATTCTGAGTGTTGGCTCCAGCTCCTGGGTCATCTGCCTTTCCCTAGATGACAGGCATGCCCCACCACCCACCCACGTTGTGCCCACCCCTCCTTCCCTCTCTCTCATTCACACACACACACCACACACACACACACACACACACAGGCACACACAGACAAATCTCTCTCATAAAGCCATTTATCCACACCATATTGTATGGTCTATATGTCTTAATAGTAATATGTGATGTTGGAATTAGAAACATTGCTTTAACAAAAAGCATTTTGCAGTAAGAATTGAGTTTGAGTTTGTTGGATAGCAAGCCCGACTTCACAGACATCTGGTATCTTCAGCTTCTCAAGAGCAGTGAACTAATGGGCCAATGAAACTGCTTTCTTCAGTAGCTGTCCTGTCTGTCTCTCTGTCTGTTTTTCAAGTCAGGGTTTCTCCGTGTAGCCCTGTTTGTCATGAAAAGATAGTGAGGAGAAACCACTCCAGCAGGTGAGTGGATGGCTGTGAAGAGGCCACTAAGGGCAAGGAAGCATCTTCTTCGACTGGGGTATTTGTCACTTCCCCAGAGAGCAGCTTGAACTGTGCAGGAGGACCAGTGCAGGACCAGTTCTCCTTCTGGTCAGGGAAACACAGAAAGGAGACTGTCAGCCTAGCAACGCCAGTGCTGCCTTGGTTCCTGAGATCCATTATTGGGTCACCTAGGGTTCTTAGAGGGAACCACCCATATACAGGAGGTGGCAGGGAAGTGTTTTGAGATGAATCCCAGAACTGGAAGAGAACTTTCTGTCTCTGCAAGGCAGCTTTTGAGCTTGAGGGGGGAGATCCAGTGTCTGCACCCTTCTCCAAGTCCTTCTCTTCTCCCCTCCATAATGTGCAGCGAAAAGGACTCGCTGTTCGCCCAGTCTCAATGGTAGGTTACTGGGTGTCTCGGGGCAACCTGTGAATCCCATAGGGCAGCCAGATAAATTTCCGAGGTGCTGTTTGTTGGGGTGCAGTCGTCGTCCCTTTCCTAGAAGAGGCACCTCTTGGCCTTGCACGGTGGCCGTGGAGGCTTCTGATGTGTTCACATGGACCTGAGTGTACCCGCCTTCCTGCTTTTGTGTATGTGTGTGTGTGTTTTAGTGTGAGGTTGTTGTTTTTGTTGTTGGTAGTAGTTCAGAGAAGGAATCAATCCGTAGATGTCCTATGCTTTGTATTGCCTTTATTGTCAATGTACATACAGAAACCCACGAAAATCCTTTGCCCACCCCCTACCACATTCAAGGGAACTCTTTGTCCCACCCACACCTAAGAGGTCCTAGGGATTTTCTTAATTTGTCAATGCAAATTGAAACGATAATTAACAACATGACCTTTTCATTGAAGGTCAAGCTGGGTAATACAAGTGGATTTTTTTTTTTTTGACTATGCCTTTTTGGAATTGAAACTCAACAAGGACATATATTTCCCTGAGTGTAAATAGTTGATCTAGAACAATACCCAAACGATAGAGTGTTTGCCTAGTGTCCTGGAGGCCAATGGGCTTGAACCCTTAATGAAATCCAATATGGATGAATGTAAGGACTTTAGAAAACCCATAATCCCAGGATGCCAGAGAACAGGACAGGGTGATTAGCAGTGTGAGGCCAACCTGCTCCTGGGCGTGTCCATGGCCAATTTGCCTGCATGATGATTTCAAGGCTACCCTGAAAGCTTGAAATCAGGTCCACAGGATTTAGTTAGCAGATCCTCTTTGTTCACACAGGTGTGAAAGGAAACTTTCAAAGTGGATAACTTGTTGGTTTTGTAAGCCAAAACTAAGAAAAGACATGCTTCATGTATAAGTGGAACATTTGATATTATCCGTTCCATGTCTATCATCTTGTTGTATTCTATCTGTGTTTGACACTTGACAGCATGTTTACCCTTTCTGACTGTCTTCCTCACCCTCTCTCTCCCTTTTTTTACTCTCTCCTCTTCGAGCATATTCTCACACATTCTTGAGAAGCGCTATACTTCATCGTGACATTCCGGCCCCTTCTAAGGATAATGTCTGTGTTTGTGCATGTATGTATGTATTTATACCTAATGGGGGTCAGCTGACCCAGTCTTGTGTTCGGTGTTCCTGCTGTGTGGCCATCAGTTGAGAGTGAAAGTAGCCACACCTTCTCAGTTGCATCCTCATTGAAATTTCCTCACCACTTAAATGATATGTCTGTGTATTGAATCCATGGATATATTGATATCCAAGTAGAAAATACGTTAAAAGACAGGTTGACGGTCGTGTGATCACGCTGTCTGCCATTGGGAGTAACCTGTTTGGAAAAATGTCTCCCAAAAGTTTCCCCTACTTTTTTTTTTCTCCTAACATCTTTTGGCAATACTGGGTATCATTACGACATTCTTAGACCCGTGAGGGATAGATTTTGATTTCCCTGATGCCCCACCTCGCTCTCCTCTTGCAGGTTCTGTTCTTCTTTTGAAGGATGCTCAGTGGGCCCTAAGGCCTTTGAAGTCCCTCTAGGACTTCTTTTTACCAAGTCCTGCAACATCCCATTGGGAGTCAAACACCCTATGGAGTGAGGATAACCTGGTCTTGGGATGGAGTGTCTCCTCCTCCCAAAGGCTGGAATGCATGGAGTGCCTTCACTTGCTCTGCTGGTGATCTTTCCACTGCCCTAGGACTAGACTGAGGGTGGGGCTCCCCACTTCAAATTACCCAATCCAGACAAACAGCCCAGGATTAACCTGGTTCCTAAAACAGGTGTTTTAGTTTATTCGAGGTCTGATCGAGTTGAGAACCAAGAATATACATCACACATGCTCTGTCTACGAAGGTCCTCTTACCCTCTGATTTTATTCTGGATTTGTTCAACTAATTTATTATATTTTGTTTCTTTGCATGTGTGTGTGTGTGTGTGTGCCTGTGTAACTTTTGTGTACTGCAGGCATCCTAAAGCCGGCGGTGGAGTGGTTGTCCATCCTGTGGTATCATCAAGTGTCTTCTTCATGTGGATGCTGCAAGGGCACTAAGTCCTTTGATGTCAGTGGTTCTCAAGCTTCCTAAATCTCGACCCTTAATACTTGTTCGTATGCTGTGGTGACCCCAAATCATAAAATTGTTTCTGTTGCTTCTGATTAACTGTAATTTTGCCCAGGTAAAAAAACTGTCATGTAAATGTGCAGGATCTCGTATTTGGGACCCAAGGGAAAGGCTCCTTTGACCCCTCAAAGGGTTCTCCACCCATAGCTTGAGAGAGAACCTTTATTCTAAGTGCTGAGCCATCTCTGGGGCCACACTGATCATCTGCTATCTTTCACATTGCCCGATGTAGCTCAGCTTACACTCTCTCTGTTTCTGAGTGTCGCCCCAACTCCTGGGTCATCTGCCTTTACCTGGATGACAGGCATGCCCCACCACCCACCCACATTGTGCCCACCCTTCAATTTCTCTCTCTCATTTGACACACACACACACACACACACACACACACACACACACACACACAGACTGAGGGGGTAGGGACGGAGAGAGAGAGGTCTCTCATTAAGCCATTAACCACACCATATAGTTTGGTCTATATATTTTATTAATAATAAGTGATGTTGGAAGTAGAAACATTGCTTTGAAAACAAAAGCATTTTGCAGTAAGAAATGAGTTTGAGTTTCTTGGATAGCAAGCCAGACTTCACAGAAATCTGGTATCCTCAGCTTCTCAAAGGCAGTGAACTAAAAGGGCCATAAACGCGGCTGTCTTCAGTAGCTGTCCTGTCTGCCTGTCTGTCTGTCTGTCTTTCAAGTCAGGGTTTTTCGATGTAGCCCTGATTGTCAGGAAGAGTCTGTGAAGGGAAACCACTCCAGCAGGTGAAGGGATGGCTGCGAAGAAGCCAAGAATCATTGTCCACTCAGGTCAAGGAAGTATCCTCTTCGACTGGGGTATTTGTCAGTTCCCCAGAGAGCAGCTTGAACTGTCCAGCAGGACCAATGCAGGCACAGTTCTCCTTCCAGTCAGGCGCACACAGAAAGGAGACTGGCTGCCTAGCAACGCCAGTGCTGCCTTGGTTCCTGAGATCCATGCTTGGGTCACTGAGGGTTCTTAGAGAGAACTACCCGTGCAGAGGAGGAGGCAGGGAAGGTTTTGAGATGAATCCCAGAACTGGAAGAGAACTTTCTGTCTCTACAAGGCAGCTTTTGAGCTTGAGGGGGGAGATCCAGTGTCTGCACCCTTCTCCAAGTCCTTCTCTTCTCCCCTCCATAATGTGCAGCGAAAAGGACTCGCTGTTTACCCAGTCTCAATGGTAGTTCACTGGGTGTCTCGGGGCACCCTGGGAATCCCCTAGGGCGGCCAGATAAACGTCCGAGGTGCTGTTTGTTGGGGTGTAGTCGTCGTCCCTTTCCTAGAAGAGGCGCCTCTTGGCCTTGCATGGTGGCCGTGGAGGCTTCTGAGGACTCTCAGAGGTTTGTTCTTGATGACTTGGAGGAGGAGATGGAGGGAGAGGCTGCAGTTGCAGGCTGGGTAGAGGCCAGCGCGTGCTGCTTTTGAGGCTCCAGATGGAGCCAGGAGCATACCTCTCGGCACCATTGATTCCCTGGTCGAGGGCAAAGACGTGGTGGTCCTGGAGCATGTCCGGGACAGGGGCCTCCTGCGTGCCGGCGGGCCAGAACACAGCCTGCCCAGGTTGGGAGGAGGCTTGGAGGCCTTCGGGGACCAGGATGATGGTATGTCCAGGTAGCGACACTCGCCTGACCGAGGTCAGTTCGGGCTCCAGCAGCAGGTCGACGCCTTGCACGCGTAGTTGCATGGCACATCCGGTGGGAATGACCACCGTGGACGTGAGCTCTTTGCTGGCAGGCCTGGCAGATGCTTCCAGGTCTGGCTCTGCCAACGAGGCAAGGCAGGCAGGCTCCTGGAGGCGGCGGCGCTTGGCAGGGTTGGCGTCTTCTGGCTGCGGGTCCCAGCAGGGCACCGGGTAGACCCTGGGGCTTCACGGAGGCCTTGCATGTTGGCCGTGGAAGCCTCCGACGAGTTCAAGTGCACATGAGTGTACTCGCCTTCCTGCTTTTGTGTGTGTGTTTTAGTGTGAGGTTGTTGTTTTTGTTGTTGGTAGCGCTTCAGAATCCGTATATATCTTTGTTTTGTATTGCTTTTATTTGTCAACGTACATCCAGAAACCCACGAAACCTCTTTGCCAACCCTGAACCACAGTCAAGTGAACTCCTTGTCTCACCCACACCTTAGAGGTCCTAGAGATAATCTTTATTTGTAAATGCAAATTGATTCAGAAATTAATAAGCTGACATTTCAGCTTTTCATTGAAGGTCAAGCTTGGTAATACAAGTGGATTTTGTTTTTTGAGGTTTTTTTTTTTGATTTTTTTTTTTGACTGGCTTTTTGGAATTGAAAACCGACAAGGACATATCTGTCACTGAGTGTAAATAAGTGATCTAGGACAATACCTCAACGATAGTGTTTGCCTAGCGTGCTGGATGCCAATGAGCTTGAGCTTAATGAAATCCAAAATGGATTAATGTGAGGAATTTAGGACGCCCATAATCCCAGGATGGGGGAGAAAAGGACGGGAATATTAGCAGTTCAAGGGCAGCCTGGTACTGGGCGTGTCCAGGGCCAATTTGCACATGCTAGCCTGGGGGCTTGAAATCCCGTCCCCTGGATTTAGTTTGCAGATCCTCCCAGTTCACACAGGTGGGAAAGGAAACTTTCAAAGTGGACAAGTTGTTGGTTTTGAAAACAATAATTAAGCACAGACCTGCTTTTTATATAAGTGGGATCTTTGATATTATCCCTTCAATTTCTGTTATCTTGTTTTATTCTGTGTTCGGCACTTGAAACCTTGTTTACTCTTTCTGACTGTCTTCCTCCCCCTGCCCTTTCTCTCTTTATTTACTCTCTCCTCTTCGAGCATATTCTCACACATGCTTGAGAAGCCCTATAGTTCATGCGGACATTGCGGCTGCTTCTAAGGATCATGTATGCGTTTGTGCATGTATGTATGTATTTATACCTAATGGCTGTCAGCTGATGCAGTCCTGTGTTCTGTGTTTCTGCTGTGTGACCCTCAGTTGATAGGCAGGTCGCCACACTTCCTCGGTTGCTGTTTCATTGAAATTTCCTCAGCACTGAAGTGATATGTCTCTGTATTGACTCCATGGATATATTGATATCCAATTGGAAAATACTTTAAAAGACAGGAGGATGGTCGTGTGATCACCCTGTCTGCCCTGGCAAGTAATCTCTTTGGAAAAAATCTCCCAAAAGTTTCTTTTAGTTTTGTTATTTCTTTCTCCTAACATCTTTACAAAATGCTAGATATCACTATGACATTCTTACACCTGTGAGGAGTAGATTTTGATTTTCCTCTAGCATCTTTTCACCACGTCCTGTAACCATCCCAATTGTTGTAAAACTCATGATGGAGTGAGGATAACCTTGGTCTCGGGATGGAGTGTCTCCTCCTCACAAAGGATTGAATGCATGAAGTGCCTTTACTTGCTATGTTGGTGATCTTTCCACTGCAAAAGGACTGGATGGAGTGTGGGACTCCCCACTTCAAAACGTTCAATGATTAGAAATAGCCCAGGATTAACCTCTTATATGCAAAACCAATTGTCCTATCACAAGTTCACCAAAATTTTGCCTTATATTCCCTTAAAATGAGTCTCAAGTTGTAAATTAGAAAGTGTATATATTTATAGGTATAGTGTGGTGCTTCAATAGTCAGTTAGTTTGATATCTTGGAATGACTGTGTTGGGCCCTAAAGCCCCACCAAGGAGGAGGTCGCCCCAAGAGACACTCACAGCACGGTTGATGCAATAGCAAGAGGAATTTTTATTCTGCCACGGCAGAGGTCCCTCAGCCTCGAGAGGAGAAGGACCCTGCTTTGTCTATTACAAGCTCTTTTAAAGGAAAAAACCACAAATTCAGGGAGGGGGTAGTACAGAATCAAAGGGAAAGTCCAAAAATCATTTGTCAACTGTTTTGACTAGTTCATACAATGGTCAGCTAACTCTACTTGATCAATGTTATGGCGGTTACAAGGAGGAACACCTGCAGGTCGTCTCACCCCAGTTCCAGGGTCCGGGTCTATTGGAGAAAGACTACAATGGGGATGGAAAGTACTCAAAGCTCCCGTGCACGCGTGGCTGGTTACTAGGGACCTGGTTCCCAGGAAGGGGGGTGCAGTAGTGCTAAGGTGCCTCCTAATGCTAGAGGCCTGGTTCCCAGGATGGGGGGTGCAGTAGTGCTAAGGTGTCTCAAAGTCTTTCATTTCCCCCCTTTGATTTGGTCGAATCTCAATCTTGAGATTCTCAGGGATTATCCCTAAGGGCATGATATTGCTGGGTCAACACCAAAGCTTGAGTAATGCTAAGTCGCTCACGAATGAACATCAGGAGTCGATTGAGGATGCAGGGCCCAAAGGTTAGGATGAGTAATAGAATGATCAAGGGACCAGTGATGGTGGAAATGAGTGTCGTGAACCAGGGGGAGCGGTTAAACCAGCCTTCAAACCAATTTTGATGTGCCTCTCTCTCTCTCTGTCTCTTGTCTAACCTCTCTCTGAGCTTAGCCATCGAATCTTTAATTACCCCAGAGTGGTCTACGTAGAAACAACATTGTTCCTTTAGGGCAGCACAGAGTCCTCCTTCTTGAAGAAATAGCAAGTCTAACCCGCGCCTATTTTGTAACACTACCTCGGAAAGAGAGATTATTGAATCTGCAAGCTTGGTGATAGATTGTTCTAGGGCCCTTAAGTCCTGGTCAATAGCTGCTCTTAATTCCTCAAAATGTTGGGGAATTTTGGAACTCTGCACTAGAGCAGTAGTACCGGTGCCAACACCAGCTGCCACCCCAAGGCCCAAGATCACTGCTAGAGTCATAGAGATGGGCTCTCGCCGATAACGGCTCGAGTGCCTGTCAAATTCATCCTCAAATGTGTTAGCAGGATAATAAATGACCCTTGGAACTAGTCGAACAAGCACACAGTAATCTTTGGTACCATCAAAAACTGATGTTGCCACGCAAGGCGTCAGGCCTGTACTACAAGCCCACCATTTATCTGAATCGGGGATCAGGTATCCAGTTTTAGCAGTTTTAGGGCTCTTAAGGGTCTCATTACATAAATGTTTGTAAGCAGCCGGTGGATTTCCCAAGCATGTCCCTGCACCAGTAACCTCTGTAAGAGTTAGTCTATGACTAACTCCCCAAGCGCAGCCCTCCTGGCTAGTTGTGTTATTGAAACCCCCAGATATTGCAATCCCTTCATAGTATGGGGGTCCTGCTGATAGGCATAGCCAGCAAGATTCTGTCATATTGGGGTCAGTACTATTCAGCAAAGAAAAAGCTCCCACTATTAGATTAAACAATCGCTGGCCTGTATTAGAGAGTGCCAGCGGTGAAGCAGGGGTAGCAGGAAGATTTTTAGGACTTGAAGGGGGACCCAAGGCCCTGGCAAGGGGGGGGGACCTCAGCCAGGGCTAGCTGTCCCTGGTCAGGCAATACCGGGTTGGGCCCTAGTGCCATGGTCATGGGAGGTGTTATAACAATTCTTAGGGTGAACAGAATTCCTATGTCTTCCCCTCCTGGATTATACAACCGTAAACCCCATATATTGCCTGTTAACCAACTAACCTTTTTTCCCTTCTCCGTGAAGGTGATTGTGATTTCAGATTCCCCTGATGTGGTACGAGTGAAAGTGACTAAGTCTTCTTTGCTAGCCCCCAACCAGGAGGTACTGACACTGGTTTCACATCCCCAGGCAGCACAATAAAATACTTCAGCCCCCCCACATTGCCAAGTTCGTCTTCCCCCAGGACAAATATACCATTCAGAATATCTGCATGTAGGATAAGAGTTCTCGGGAGTTCGTTCAGTATCTCCCCAAGAGTCTTTTGCTAGGGCACATAGGTCAAACTTTAGCTGGGGGAACCAGGTACCTAGGGGATGAACTCCAGTGGCTAGCCTCAAGACTTGCCCAGTCTCAAAGTTAGTCAGAGTCCAAGTTAAGTTCTGAGGTGTATGGGGGTTCTTAGCACTATATGTGGAGGGAAACACCAGGGCAAAGAACAGCAAGCTTGACAGGATCAGGCTTCCTTGACTAGTCTCAGTTTTAGAGGATTTTGGGTACGCTGAAGCTTCCATTTGGAAAGTTCTGGGTCGTCCTGTGGAGGTGCCGGCTTGACGTGAGACGCGTGGATCCAGGCTGCAATACCGTCCACTTTGAGGGCAGTAGGTGTCGTAAGAAGCACGGTGTAGGGTCCCTTCCAGCGAGGTTCAAGGTTCTGGGACCGATGTCTCCGCACGTACACAGAATCGCCAACCTGGAACGGGTGCGAGATCTCCGGATGCCCAGGCTGGTAGGCAGCAGCTAGGGGTCTCCACACTTGGGCCTGGACGATCTGAAGTGCTTTTAGCCGCGCCTGCAAATCAGGTTTGTGAGTAGCGGGGTCAGGAGGGGCCCTAAAGGAGGCCAATGGGGGAGGCCCCCCATATAGGATCTCATAGGGAGTAAGTCCAAGCCGAGAAGGGGTGTTCCGCACCCGGAACAGGGCTAGGGGAAGGAGCTGTACCCAGTCTCTAACGCCAGATTCCAAAGCTAATTTGGATAAAGTCTCCTTTATGGTTCTATTCATCCTTTCTACCTGTCCTGAACTCTGGGGTCTGTATGCACAATGTAATTTCCAATTAATCCCCAGTGTCTTGGCCATACCCTGACTTACCTGGGAGACAAAGGCTGGGCCGTTGTCAGACCCGATTACCTTAGGCAGGCCAAACCGAGGAAAAATATCTTCTAGTATCTTCTTCACCACCATTTGAGCCGTTTCTCGTTTGGTGGGGAAAGCTTCAGTCCAACCGGAGAAGGTGTCTATAAAAACTAGGAGATATTTATTACCATATTTTCCTGGCCTTATTTCAGTAAAATCCACTTCCCAATGAGTACCAGGTCGGTCTCCCCTTATTCTTATGCCCTCTGGGGCACTTTGCCGTTTTGCGTTTACCTTGGCACAGGGGACACAAGTTGATGTCACTTGCTGTATGAGTGAGTTAAGACCTGGAATATAAAAATCTGTCTTTTTTATAAGAGATTTAATCTTTTTATGTCCTAAATGAGTCCATCGATGCATTTGAGTGACCAGTTCAAAAGCATCTTTCTTGGGCAACATGGTTTTGCCCTGATATTTCCAAGCTTTTTGTTGTTCATCAAAGTCTGCATTAAGTTTCTGAATAGTCTCTAGATCCTGGGTTGAATATTGGAAATGATCTTCTGTGGAGGGTGGTGCCTCTGCCAAGGATAATATTTCTGAGTTAAGCGCAGCCTTTTTAGCCATCTCATCTGCCATCTGATTTCCTTTGGCAATAGGATCATTGCCCTTCTGATGTCCTGGGCAATGAATAATGCTCACCTTCTTGGGTAAGAAGAGGGCCTTTAATAGTCCCAGGATTTCAGTCTTATTTTTAATTTCTTTTCCAGCAGAAGTTAGCAGTCCTCTTCTTTTATAAATTTCCCCATGGACATGGGCCGTTGCAAATGCATAACGGCTGTCTGTATATATGTTTACTTTTTGTCCCTTTGCTAGTTCTAAAGCCTTAGTCAGGGCTATTAATTCTGCCTTCTGGGCAGAGGTTCCTGGGGGCAATGCCTGTGCCCATATGGTATTTTGTCCATCCACCACCGCCGCCCCCGCCTTTCGCTCACCTTCTTTAAAGAAGCTGCTGCCGTCTGTGAACCAGGTATAATCTGCATCAGGGAGCCGGCAATCAGTCAAATCCTCCCTGGTCCCGTGGTATTCTGCCAATATCTGATGACAGTCATGAGGTACCCAAACAGTGGGTTCCGAATTGGGGAGCAAGGTAGCGGGGTTCAGTAACGTCGCATTTCCAAATGTGATACGTTCAGGGTTGAGCAATAACGACTGGTAGTGGGTTATACGGGCATTCGAGAGCCATCTATCAGGGGGTTGACGAATTATAGTCTCTAAAGCATGAGGTGCTATTATAGTCAGCGGTTGGCCCAGAGTCAATTTGTCTGCATCTTTGACCAGGGTAGCTACAGCTGCTACCATACGGAGGCAAGGGGGCCATCCTGTCACCACATTGTCCATCTTTTTGGAGATGTAAGCCACTGGTTTTTTCCAGGGTCCCAGTTTCTGAGTCAGCACCCCTTTTGCTACTCCCTTGTTCTCATCTACGTATAAGGTGAATGGTTTGGTGACATCAGGGAGACTCAAAGCAGGGGCCGAAAGGAGGGCCCTTTTTATTTTATCAAAAGCCCGTTGTTGGTCCTCTCCCCAGAAGAAAGGGACGTTGGCTTTGGTAAGCGGATACAGTGGGGCGGCCATTTCAGCGAAACCCGGTATCCATAACCTACAGAAACCGGCAGTTCCCAGAAACTCTCGGACCTCTCGCGCCCCTTTGGGAGGGGGAATTTGTGCCACGGCCTGCTTCCGACTGTCTGTTAACCATCTCTGTCCACCCTCCAAGAGGTACCCCAGGTAGGCTACTTGCTTCTTGCAGATCTGTGCCTTTTTAGCAGATGCCCTGTAGCCCAGTTCACCTAATCTGGTGAGTAGGGCTCGAGTCCCTCTGAGGCATTTTTGCTCAGTCTCTGCGGCCAGCAGGAGGTCATCTACATATTGGAGTAAGATTACCTCTGGATTGGCGGTGCGAAAACTGGCCAGATCCTGGTGTAGGGCCTCATCAAATAGAGTTGGAGAATTCTTGAATCCCTGGGGTAGTCTCGTCCAGGTGAGCTGCCCAGAAACTCCTGAATCAGGATCTTTCCATTCAAAGGCAAACAATGGCTGGCTCTGAGGGCTAAGTCTCAGACAGAAAAAAGCATCTTTTAAATCAAGTACTGAGTACCATACATGGGTCGGAGGCAGGGTACTTAAGAGATTATAAGGATTGGGCACCGTAGGATGAATGTCTAGAGTGCGGCGATTAACTTCCCTTAAGTCTTGGACTGGTCTGTAGTCCCCTGTGCCTGGCTTCTTTACTGGGAGAAGAGGTGTGTTCCAGGGGGAATGGCAGGCCTTTAAGATGCCCAATGTTAAAAGTCTCTGAATGTGGGGCCTGATTCCTTCTCGGGCCTCGCGGCTCATGGGGTATTGTCTTATGGAAACTGGAGTGGCTGATGGTTTTAACTCTATTATCAAAGGAGGTTGATTGCTTGCCAGCCCCATACCTGCGGTTTCCGCCCAGGCCTGGGGGAAATCACGGAGCCATTTGTTATCGATGGGCAGCTCCGGGGGAGGAGGCAGTTCAAACAGTCTGTGTTCGTCCTCCAATCTTAAAGTTAGAATTTGAAGAGCCTGGCCAGTATTGTCAGTAACTGAGGCCCCATTTTCTGAGAAGTGAATTTGTGCCCCAACTTTGGACAGGAGGTCTCTGCCCAGCAATGGGTAGGGGCATTCTGGCACCATGAGGAAGGAATGAGTCACTTGACCAGTGTTTAAATTAACTTTTCTTTCTGTGGTCCATCGGTATATTTTTCCCCCGGTGGCCCCCTGAACCCAAGAGGTTTTTGAACTCAAAGGTCCATTTGCTTGTGTGAGGACCGAATGCTGGGCTCCAGTATCTACCAAAAATGTGGTAGGGTGCCCCCCCACTAGAAGGGTTACCCGGGGCTCAGGGGGGGGCTCTGAGCCCTGACTGTCCTAATCACTGTCTTCCAGGGCTAGGACAGGAACTGGCTTTTTCTTGGGTTCAGCTGGACGTTTTGGGCAGTCCTTGATCCAATGTCCTCTTTCTTTGCAATAGGCACATTGATCTCGGTCCACTCGTGGCCGCCTTTTGTCTCCCCTATCCTTGTCCTGGCGCTTCTTAGGTTGCTCTATACTGCGTACTGTTGTGGCCAAGATCTTACTTAACTCACGACTACGCTTTTTATCTCGTTTGTCCTCTCTCTCTTCCTGTTCCTTGCGCCTTCTTTCTTCCTTTTCCTCTGGTGTCTCTCTTTTGTTAAAAATTCTCTCTGCCTCCTTTACTAAATCTTGGAGGGAGTAACCCTGCAGTCCCTCCATCCTCTGCAGCTTGCTACGAATATCAGGTGCTGACTGGCTTATAAAAGACATTATTATATCAGCCTGGCGATCCGCTGCCATGGGATCAAAAGGGGTGTACATTCTGTACCCCTCCAATAGCCTTTCTAGAAATCCTGCAGGTGTTTCCTCAGGCCCCTGTATTATTGCTCTTACCTTAGCCAAATTAGTGGGCCGTCTGCCAGCCCCTTGGAGACCCGCTAACAGAATCTGACGGTAGAGACGAAGTCGCTCCCTACCAGCTGGAGTATTGAAGTCCCAATTGGGTCGGGTCAAAGGGAAGGCATCCTCTATCTCATTTGGCAACTGGGTTGGCCTTCCGTCAGCTCCCAGGACATTCTTCCGAGCTTCAAGGAAAACACGCTGTTTCTCCTCTGTAGTGAGAAGTATCTGCAAAAGCTGTTGGCAATCATCCCAAGTGGGCTGGTGAGTAATCAGAACAGATTCTATAAGGGCAGTAAGGGCCTGGGGGTCCTGGGAAAAGGAGGGGTTATGAAGTTTCCAGTTATAAAGATCAGAGGCTGAAAAAGGCCAGTATTGAAATTGGTCAGCCATTGAGCGGAGGGGTAGTGCCTGGGAAGTCCACCTTTCCCTTGCAGATGTCCCTCTGCGGAGCCGCAGCCGGCCTGCTGGCTGCGAGTTAGGCCCCCCCTCAGCAGTATCAGTCGTGTCAGGGCTAGGGGGCCTGTCAGGGTCTATATCAGGTTCAGCAGGTTCCCCAGGAACAGGCGCGAGGGGGGCTGCCTCGGCCTGGGGCAGAAGAGGCCGGGGATAAGGAGGAGGAGGGTCAAAAAGCAGGAGGTCTGACTGATTGTCAGAGAGGATTGGTGGTGTCTGGGTCTGGGACTTCTGTTTCGGTCGCTCCTGCATGGGGAAGAGAGAGGACAACGGGTCCAGGGGAGGGGCAGTTGGGGTTGCTGCCGCCCTCGGAGTCAAAGGGGTGGTGGAGGGCCAGGGAGCTGGTACTGGGTTTCCGGCTCCCGCAGGCAGGACAAATGGTTTGACCCAGGGCGGAGGGTCTCTGGACAAGCTCTCCCAAGTTACGATGTAAGGAACTTGATCAGGATGGCCCTGCTGGCCAGGCTGAAAGACTCTTGTCTTAACCTGCAAAATAATATTCAGATTAAATGTTCCGTCCTGTGGCCAGCCCACTCCGAAAGTGGGCCATTCCACGGAACAGAACGCTTGCCAGCGTTTCTTTCGGATTACCATAGACTGGTTGTGAGCTCTGTCCTCAACCTCTTTCCAGTGGTCTAAAGTCAAAGTTAAGGGGGTGGTTATTTGTTGTCCCATTGTACTAGATTCCAACTCAAAAACAAACACAAAGACAAAAACAACAATACAAAATGACAGACACAGACTCAAGACCGAGAGCCGCGCGGCAACAGACTGATGTAAAACTGATATTACAAACCTGGAAGGGAGTGGGCGATAAGAACCACACTCTCTAGAAACTAAGATGACCTGGTCGCTCCTAGTTTCACAAATTGCCTGTGAAGCGTCCTCCACGGCTGGGCCAGGGAGTGTTCCCGGACACGTCTGTCCCACTGCCTGGTCCCTTTCAAATACTAGCCCTGCGCAGGTACAATGTTCCTCCAAATCCCTGATGATCATAAACATAAGGCACAATAACAGAAATAGACGAACATAAAACATTCAGACAAGCGCGCTCTTACCTCCAACCGGGTCAGGAATGGGTCTGAGGGCGACCAGCACTTCCCGGCCAACGCACCAAATGTTGGGCCCTAAAGCCCCACCAAGGAGGAGGTCGCCCCAAGAGACACTCACAGCACGGTTGATGCAATAGCAAGAGGAATTTTTATTCTGCCACGGCAGAGGTCCCTCAGCCTCGAGAGGAGAAGGACCCTGCTTTGTCTATTACAAGCTCTTTTAAAGGAAAAAACCACAAATTCAGGGAGGGGGTAGTACAGAATCAAAGGGAAAGTCCAAAAATCATTTGTCAACTGTTTTGACTAGTTCATACAATGGTCAGCTAACTCTACTTGATCAATGTTATGGCGGTTACAAGGAGGAACACCTGCAGGTCGTCTCACCCCAGTTCCAGGGTCCGGGTCTATTGGAGAAAGACTACAATGGGGATGGAAAGTACTCAAAGCTCCCGTGCACGCGTGGCTGGTTACTAGGGACCTGGTTCCCAGGAAGGGGGGTGCAGTAGTGCTAAGGTGCCTCCTAATGCTAGAGGCCTGGTTCCCAGGATGGGGGGTGCAGTAGTGCTAAGGTGCCTCCTAATGCTAGAGGCCTGGTTCCCAGGATGGGGGGTGCAGTAGTGCTAAGGTGTCTCAAAGTCTTTCAACTGAAATAATTCATTGGCCTACTTATTACCTCTCATTTAAATCTTTTCTCGTCTGTGTGTGTGAGAATATTTGAAATCTCCTTTTACACTATTTTGGTTGGAGCATGTCTTTAATCCCGGCACTTATAAGGCTCAACAAGCAGGAGGATCTTTGTAAAACTGTGGCCAGACTGATCTACATAACAGAAGAAAACAAAATACTCAGGTAGTTTCTTATTAGTAAGTTTGAGATATTTATGACAGAAGTATTCTTGTGTAGCTGTTTCCTGCATACACAACATTCCCTCGAGGGATGAAAGAGATTGACAAGGCTGAAGAAATGCATAAGAAACACCATCATCCTTACATGGCTGCTTCCAGATCCAGGAAAGGGGACCATTTGCCTCTTAACCTGCTGTTATTCCACTACCTTCTGACTTCCGTGTTTTGTTTGTTTGTTTTGAGATTTTGGTTTTCATTTTATGTTCAGGAATGTGTACATAAACTGCATGCAGTGCCTATGAGATCCAGAAGAGGGCGTCAGAGCCCCTGGAGCTGCAACCAGTTGTATGGGCGCTAAGAATTGAACTAGGGCTGTTTGGAAGAGCAGTCAATAAATGCTTTTAGCCACTGAGCCATCTCTCCAGCCCGGAGAAATCAGTTTTCTAGTGGATTCTTTCTCCTTTGTAGTTATCTATCTGCTTTTTCTGCAAATCTTCTTTCTTTTAATGTTTTTTTTCCTAATTGAGATCAAATGTACTTTATCTGTACATTTTTTTATTTTTTAAAAAAGTTAATTTTTCTTTATTCTTTTAAAAAAAGTTTTATATGCATTGGTGTTTTGCCTGCATGTATGTCTGTGTGAGGTTGTCAGATCCCCTGGAACTGGAGTTACAGTCATGAGCTGCCACATGGTGCTGGGGTCCTGTGGAAGAGCAATCAGTGCTCTTAATCTCTGAGCCACCTCTTTCTGGCCCCCTGTATATGTATTCTTTTTCCCTTAGCATTTGGTGTTTTGTTGACTTACAGTAATGTCTGCCTAAATATCCTTTTCAGAGCTGTTTCTTCATTTCGGACACTCTGATCAGAAAGATATACATTCTTTGTAGGGCACTGTAGGATGTTACTTAGGTCTGTCTTCAGAAGTGTCCTGAGCACTGATCTCATCATGTCTTTTATCCTTAATCCAGGTAGGAATGTGGTCATTCCTCTTTTGCTAGACTAAAAATTTCAGACTTTCTGTAAATAGCTTTTCCCCCTCCCCCAGTAGTCCTCTGTCCACCTCTGATACTTTCTTTCACTTCTGAAGTCATAGCAACTGGAAAGTCCAGGCATCTTCAACCTCTTCACATTGCTCCTCCTACTCTCATCGAAGCCGCCTCCCTTTCCCTGCAGGTGTTCACACTGGGGCTCCTGTTCTCTTCCGGGGCCCTGCTCCTTCCAGGTGTTCCGCTGTCCACTGCTCTTTCCTGGTGTATCCCCCTCTACCCTCTTCCAGCTCCAGGACCCCTCCTGCCAGTTGCCTGATTGCTTGTGGTTCTTGGTCTTTGATCATTATCTTCTACATTGTCATTGCTACAGATGATTTTAAAATATGATTATATTTTAAATATAATATAAATAAATATATTTAAATAAATAGGCATTTATCTCCATCTTGTACCATTTTCCTTCAACCAAAATCTCACTTATTTGTCATATTTTGGTCAATATCCACATTTGGTATGGAACAGGCACCTCAGATTACACGTGTGCCCAACTGAACTCATTATCTTTTAAATAAAAAAAATTCTCTCAAAGTCTTTCCATTCCTTTTAAATAAATAAATAACGTTCTCAGTGCCCGCTCTCTCACTGCCAATGAGCATCTGCTAGAACAGCTCCCACTGTCCATTGCCCCAGCTCAATTTCATATTTTATATTTCTCACTTATCTCATGGTTTACTTTCCCCTAATTTGCTGTTTGACTCCTTCCTTACGGTTGTGTTTCAATATTTATGCAGGATGCTTCACAGAGGTTTATTTGCCATGGTTATAGTCATATTTTTCTCTTTTATGGCCTCCATCAAACCACGTTACAGATATTTACAATGGATAATTTCTTTACCACTTGAAGGTCTGCTTCTCCTTTCCCTTATTTTTCTAGTGTTTTGTTTCCTTATGTGATCTTTGACTTTTGATGTATAGAACTTTAAAATAACTCTAAAGCCATTTCTGACAACTCTGGGGCCTCTCAGCAGTAGTGCCTGCCCCCCCCCCCTTCCCTGGGAACCAGAAATCTAACAATTAGTCTTCGTGAATGTTCTCCAGAAATTGGGGCAAGATAACCTTTAAGTTGTTGACTCAGTTCCTGATGAATGTGCCAGGTGGGAGTCCTCCGGGAGACTTGATTTGACTCAGCCCCTGGGAAAGGGGTCAAAGTGACCCTCAGACGTTTCCTCTTAGCTCATCTGACCTGGCAACTGCTCTACAGCCAATTATTGGTAATAGCCCTTTTTGAATAAGCCAATCATAATAGTCAAAGAACCCCAGACACTCGCCTTGCTTCTATGGCTTTTTCCTTTAAAAGTAGCTTGTACCAGCAATTTGGGGTCTTTCTGGCCTAATGCTGAAAGATCCTGTCATGACAGAATTAATAAAATTCTCATGCTTACATCAGCTGTGGTGTGAGAGATGGTCTCTTGGTGCAACTTCTCCTTGGTGATTGGACTCTAGGGTATAACAGATTCAGGGCTTAGAGTTCCTGGACTATTGTCCCTAGCAAGAAAGTTAGTCCTGGGTACTAGTGTATTCTCCCCGGAGAAGGTTAGTTTGCCTTTTGCCAGGCCTCCCATTGACTTGCCCTGTAGTCAGACTGATGAATATCTTAAATATCACCATAGAACTTTCATTCAGCAACTGATGAAAACAGAGGCAGAGACCCACATTGAAGCACTGGACTGAGCTCCCAAAGTCCAGTTGAAGAGTGGGAGGAATGAGAATATGAGCAAATAGGTCAACACCATGATGAGTACACCCACCGAAACAGTTTACCTGAGCTAATGGTAATCACAAACTCCAGCCAGACTGGGAAGGAATAAGCATAGGACCAAACTAGTCCCTCTGATTGTGGTTGACAGTTGCATGACTGGGGCAGACTGATGGGCCACTGGCAATGGCACCAGGATTTATCCCTACTGCATGTACTGGTTTTTTGGGAACCTAATCTCTTTGGATGGATATCTTGCTCAGTGTAGATATAGTAGGGAGGGCCTTGGACCTTCCACAAAGCAATGTACCATACCCTCTCTGAGAATTGGAGGGGGGTGGGGTGGGAGGAGGTGTGGAGGGGGGAGAGTGGAAACTTGTATTGGTATGTATAATGAAAAAAAGTTTTTTTTTTTTTAAGTTAAAACCTTTCTTTTTATTTAGACAGAAAAGGGGAGATGATGTATATGTGTTGCTTTTATTTGGTTAATGAATAAAGAAGCTGCTTTGGTCTGTGATAGTACAGAATAGAGCTAGGTGGAAAAATTAAACTGAATGCTGGGAGAATGTAGGTGGAGTCAGTGAGACGCCATGTAGCTGCTGGAGGAGACAAATGCTGGAATGTTGCCCAGTAAGCCAGTTTGTGGTGATACACAGATTAATAGAAACGGGTTAATTTAAGATATAAGAACTAGCTAGCAATACGCTTAAGTGATTGATCAAGCAGTGCTTTAATTAATATAGTTTCTGAGTGATTATTTTGGGTCTGGGCAGCTGGGAAACAAATGAGCAGCCTCCAGCAACAGGTGGTGGTAGTGCATGCCTTTAATCCAAGAACTCGAGAGGCAGAAACAGGTAGATCTCTGTGAGTTCGAGGCCAGCCTGGTCTACAGAGTGCATTCCAGGACAGGTTCCAAAGCTACAGGGAAACCTTTCCTTGAAAATACAAAAACAAAACAAAAGTGATGCATTGGGTATCAAATTTCCAAGGGAGGAGATCTGTGATGGTTGATGCTGGTTGCCACCTTGATGGGATTTAGAATCCCCATGGAAATTAATCCACAGTAAGTTCTGTGAGGGGTTCTCTCCTGGATTAATTAAGGTGAGACACTGACCCTAGGTGCAGGCAGCCCTGTTCCATGGGCTGGGGTCCTAGAGGGAACGACGCAAAGGTGTAAGGGAGCTGAGTGGCACCATCGTCCCCCACTTCAGCAAAAATGATGGAACCAGATGCTTCAAGCTCCTGCTATTCCCCACCATGATGGACTATATATCTGAACTGTGAGCCAAAACAAAAGAACACAACAACAAAAAACCAAAACCTAAACACTCCCTTCTTAAAACTGCTTTTGCTAGATGATCTGTTAGAGCACAGAGTGGAAACTAATTAGCTTGTTGGAGGCATGACTCTCAAAAAGACTAATGCAGCTCTAGCAGGAACCCGGCTTTGTAGGAGTGGGCTGCTATAAAAGGAGAGAAGCAGGACACTGTGTTTCTCTGGCTCCCTGCATCACCACATGCTTTCCTGGTTATGCTATCTGTCATGTTTCATGTAGCCAGGAAAAAAAAGGATCCCACAAGACATGTCAGCCTCCTTTTTGTTTTTCAATTTTTAACAGTGTCTTTTAGGTATTCTTTGACAATTTCATACATGTAAATAATGTATCTTGTTCACATGCATTTCCAACTCCTCCTAGGCACCTCTAACATGTCCCCCTTCCTACTTCACGTCTTCTCATCCCCCTCCTTCTCTTCTGAGCTCAATTGATACTGCCTGTTGTAATGTTGTACTGACCTCATGTGCTTAATCCCGTGCATGTCTTGTGCAGATAATAACAGCTCCATGAGCTGCAGTGGCCACATCGTATCCATAAGTCAGCATTGCACAGCCCCTCCTCACCTCCAGTTTTCAGTCTTCCCTCCTCCTTTTCTGAGATGCTGACATGGTGCCCCTGGGGGTATGGCTGACACAGATGTCCCACTAGGGCTGAACACAAGATACTCACTTATTCTGAGCATTTTAAGAGTTGTGGGTTTCTGTATTAGCTGTTAACCACTGCAGAGAGAAGCTTTCCTGGTCAAGGCTAAAAGTAGCAGCAATCTATATGTATAACTATAAATACTTAGAAGGCAGTTTAGCAACAAATCTTTTTATTAATACAACAACATTAGGTCCTACCCTAGGACCTATGACTTCCAAGCCATGGATCTTTAATCAAACTTACTTGTATTCAAGGTATTAATTTCTACCTGTGGAACAAGTCTCAAAATCAGTTGTTTACCCCTATGGCTTTCCAACCAATATTGCATCAGTGGGCATATCTTGCCTGGCAGCTTAGCGCTGCAGCATGTAAAGTTTCCTACTGGCTAATAACAGGAATATCTTTTATACCCAACATCTATTTTAAAAGAAAGGTTCCGCTATCACCTCCATCCCAAAGGGGAACCAGAAAGTGGGTAGTAAATCCAGCTGTTGGCTAACTAGTTGACCTTTTAATGTACTCATTGAACTGAGAATACAAGTTGTGGCAATTAAAGATTTCCATTCCTACGAGGCCGAAAGCCTGCCCATCATCAAACAAACTGTGAAAAGCAACTGTGGAACCGCTTCAGCTTTAGAGACGCGCTGCAGACTTCCGAGGGGGAGTGAGCCACCGGAGTGCAGGCAGGCGAATGGAAAAGGCGGACGGCCCATCCCGACAACCACATCACGCGTGAAGGCGGTGAACATACAGATCCAAACAGCAGGCTCTCAACGGCACAGAACAGCAACAGGATATTCATGAGGAGCCCCAGGGAGAGCCTGGAAAACAGAGGCCTTGAGCCAGACCAATGACTGTGGCAATGAACACTTGCAAGCAAACTTGAATGGACTAAGGGGTAAACTGAGTATCAACGGGCCACATGACAGCTTCCACAACAAGATTCTCCTTCCTGTTTTGTTTTTGTTTTCTTTCTTTTGTTTGGGTTTTTCTTTTAAATTTGGTTTTGACTGGGGGAGGTTGCGAGGGGCTGGGGAGATAAGTGGGATCAGAATGCAGAATGAGTGATATGAAATCCATAAAGAACCCATAAAAGTTAAAAAAAAATAAACTCCCACTCACACTGTGTCCACCAAAGAAAACTGCTGAGTATTGAGATAATCCAACATGATGAAGAATAAATACATTTACAAAAAAAGATAAAATCTATTATCAAAGTAACACCCACAGAACAAACCTTTGACTTTAAGGGGAAGTTTTAAAATAAGGAAATAAATACCTTGGAAAGTTAATGCACTCTTGAAATGAGAATTTTCTTAGATATATTATTAATAGAATTCTAGAAGGAATTAATGAATAGTAATTATGTTATAATCACATAATGTCAAGAATTACGAGTATCGTGACCTGAATGAGAAATGTCTCCTTATGGGTTCACAGGTTTGCACATGTAGTCACAGTCAGAGGTACTATTTTGGGAGATCTGGAATCTTTAAGAAGTGGAACCTTGCTAGGGGGAAGTAGGTCACAGAGGTTGTGTTTTGTGTCAAGTTGACACAAGCTAGAGTCATCAGAGATGAAGGAGCCTCAGTTGAGAAAAAGTCTCCATGAGACCCAGCTTAAGGCGTTTTCTCAATTAGTGATCAATATGCGAGGGCCCAGCCCATTTTGAGTGCCGTCATCCCTGGGCTGGTGGAGAGCAGGCTGAGCAGAGAAGCAAGCCAGTTAGCAGCACCACTTCATGGCCTCTGCATCAGCTCCTGCCTCCAGGTCCCTGTCCTGATGTCCTATGGCGATGAACAGCAACGTGGAAGCATCAGGTGAATGAACCCTGTCCTCCCCAACTGGCTTTTCAGTCCTGGTGATTTGCTGGGGCAATAGAAACCCCGACTAAGACAAGCTGATAACAGCATGGTGGGGTATTACTGCGACAGACCTGGCCATGCTTTGGAGAAGATTGTGGAAGGACTTTAAAACCTTGGGCTAGAAAAGCCATTAAGCATCGAGACCTCAATGGGATATTCTTTGGGAGCTGGTAAGAAAGAATGTAGAGAGCAGTGCAGAAGATGGAGGCCTGGCTTGTGAAGTTTCAGAGGGAAATTTAAAGACTCTGTGTGTAATGACTGTTCTGTCTCTTTAAGAGATAAGCCACGCCCACTCCCTCCCCCATCTGCTGAGACACGCAGATCTTCAGCTTCCAGCCTGGGTTCTCTGTTTTCCTTCTGTCCCCTCCCCTCCCTTCCATAACCACTAAATAAATAAATAACCTCCCTCTGCATGGTCTGTCTCTCAGCTGCCGCTGCCAGCTGCCACATGGCTCGCCACTGGAGACCTGCCGCGCGCGCGCAAGCGGGGCGCGCGTGGTCACGTGCGCGGATTCGTGCGCTGACCCTGCCAGGGACTGGCTGCTCTGGGGACCCTCTGCCCCCTGCCAGCCACCCCACGCTTAGAGACCTGCAGCATTTCTGCTGCCTGCCAACACCGGGGATCCTGCCGCTTTTTTAACTTTTCCATTACACTGTGGCCTTAATTTAAAGACAGTGGCTTTGAGGCTCCAGCCATACCCTACTTTCTGCCCTCTCTCTGCTTTCTGTGTGTAGAGTGTAGATGAAAAACGTGATAAGGCAGCCCATCGCTCTGGTAGCCACGCCACGCCTTCCCTGCCGTTCCGAATCCCTGCCCTCTGAAGCCGTAGGCTAAAATAAACTCCCGTGTTTCCTTTGAGCATATTTTTATCACAGCAGCAGAAAAGTTACTGAAACAATGAGTCCTAAAAGATAGACTGAGTGCTGCCATCATACATTTGACTGAATTTTCAACCCGAGGATGGGTGGGTGGGACACTCCAAGACATAGTCTTTGGTGGGATTTCAGGTAAAAGATAATTTTCAATACCACAGTCAACTACATTCAGTCACGCCACACAGAAGTAGCTCCTTGCGGACACATTACAATCACACTATGACACGAAGAAACCAAACAGTATTTTAAGTATGATAAAAGGAAGCCAGATGGGGTAGCACACACCTGTAATCCTGAGACTTGGAAAGCTAAAGCAAGATCAGGGCTTCAGGACGAGCCCGGGCTACTCAGCGCCTGTTACGAAGAAAAAAAAAAAAAAAACAAAATCAAGAACAAAATACTTCAAACCTCCCAAACTGAAATGTACAAAACTAAAAAACCCCCCACACAGTATTTTATTCAGCAGATGACCATTTATTTAAGCCAAAAAAAAAAAAAAAGAAACTCAAAAAACAAAAAACGGTGAGACACTAAATTGGTTTATTTAATGTACTCAAGAGTCATGCTAGAATTAAGAGTAACTATGTGTAGAATCAAGGGCTGGGGAAGAGACCACAGACACCACATCCTCCACAAAGGTGGCTAGCTAGAAGCCTGAAGCCAGCCCATGGACATGCTAGTGAGACAGAGGAGGAAGTTCAAAGTTTCAGGCAGAGATGGACAAAAAGAGCAGAAGAAACTCCAGGAGCTAAATGAGAAGCCTGCAAGGGGGGGGGGGGGCTTGGTCATAGGCAGAACAAAGATGAGTGGTTTTTATTTATTTATGTTTGACCTGAAATGCTGGTGCCCCTGGAGTCTTTCCACTTCTACAGAAACTTCCGGGTGCCCTACCAGTTGTTTCTCCCACCAATGTCTAGAGTGCAGCATTGTGTTGGTGTCTATTGTGCATTTAAGAATAAACTTTAGTAAAAAATAATCATACAGTGGTTGACAGTCTATTGATTTTTACTCTGTCATTTCTGTCTCAGGTTAAATAAATTAGAATCCTGAAAAAAAAGTGAGGATGTAATCAGGACACTCAAGCATACAATTCTAAGAATTTATCATGCAAACTCATGGTTACAGAACCAAGACAGATGGACTCAAGGGAGATAACTATGAAAGCGTAGTTTTTGTGCAACTAAGATAGGATCGATGGGGAAAAGTATCCACTATACAAGTCTGATGACCTGAATTGATCCCATGAACTCATGCTAAAGCAGAGAACTGAATTCAGATCGGGCCTCTGACTTCCAGTGTGCTGTGGTACAGACACACGATGGCACACATGGTCCTGAACTCACACACAAATCACACACATTCACCCAAACATACATCAATCATAAGCTAAACAGTTAAAAAAAAAAAAGCTGTGTGTAAGAGCTAGGCTCTGGCCCATAATCTCAGCTCCTCTGGTGGCTGATGGTAGAGGGTTTCATATTCAAGGTGGGTCGAGGTGGAAGAATGAGTTCAGTGCTAGCCTGGCAACTTAGTGAGACCCGGTCACAAATACAAAGGAGAGAACTAGAGACACAACTGTATTAGACTCCTTGCCTTACGTTAAATATGCATTAATGCAAAAAGAAATTAAAAGCATATACACACATTTATACACATACATTACATACATACACACACAAAACTATATATATAGTGGTTAGCCGGGGAACAGAGAAAAAAGATTTGGTTCAGTAAGCTGGGAATTCTGAACAGCTGTGATTTTAGGAATGATCTTGTAGACTTCACCTTTACCAGTAACTTTTTAAAAATAAAAAAATAAAAAATAAATAAAAATAAAAAATAAAACAAGGCAAATATGGTAATTGCATACAAAACATTACAACTTGGGTTTACTGGAGAAAATTATTTGAGAGTTTAAAACAAAATAACATGGGATAATAATAACAAAAAAAAACATTTTCCATCAGCTTACGGGTGAAATTTTGATGTGAACATACTATAAAGAGGAATGCATGCACAGGTCTTTGATCCTAGCACTTGGGAGGCAGAGGCAGGTGGGTGTCTGTGAGTTCAAGGCCACATTGGTCTACGGAGTGAGTTCTAAGATTGCCAGAGATACATAGTAAGATCTTGCCTAAAAATAAGTATATAAATAAAACAACAAGCAAAACAAAAGAAAAAGAAAGCAAATGCATATCCCAGTGCGTGCTGAAAACTGCCTGTAAAATTCACCTTAAGTCTCAGCAATAAAGAAGAGGCAGAAAAGGAAGATTCTACCAGTAGCTTCGGAGATTGCTGAGAACACTGCACATTCAAGTAAGTAAATATCATAGCCCGTCACGGAACTGGGCCATTGCTCAAGAGAGCAGCCTGAAACACCAAGGAGTGGAGTGTTGGCCAACTCTTCAAAAACTCATGTGGAAAACAATAAAGGCCACCGAAAGAATAAGAAATCTACTTAGTTCTTGGTTAGAGAATTAACAGGTAAACAGAGGGTGTTGATAATTTACCACTAGAAGTTCTAGGAATCTGTTAAGGCTGTCGGCAAGAGTCTGTGGTACTTTAGGTCATCGAGAGTGGCACTTTTATTCCTTAGAAAAAGGTGACAGTGTCTTGCATCTAGGGGCAGAGAAAACTCTCACTTGAGGGGCATCAGGATTTATGCAGCGCAGTTCATTCACAGAACAGTCGCTTCCTGGCTTTGCACGGGGCCGGTGGAGAGCAAGGAGGACGCTGCTCTTGGGGATTTGAAGGAGATGGAGGCAGGGGCTGCAGGGGTGAGCTGGGGAAGGGTCCCAGCAGGTAGCTCTCCTGGTCCCAGACAGACCTTGGAGAATATGGCTCTGCCTTAGGGGAAGGCCCTGAAGGATATGGTTCTGGGATGTGGCCCTGAGGCCAAGGACTGGGCATCCTGTTGGTGGAGGAAAAGTGCTCACTTGCCTGACCAGCTGGAGAATCCATCCAGGGTGATTGGGGGTCAGAGTCCTCATCCTCATCATAGGATTCTTCCTCATCAAAGAATTCCTCTTCGTAGGAACTTTCTAGAATGAACTGACAGGAGGATCCCGGCTGGAGGACTAGCAGGTCGTCCTCTGGCATTTCCAGGCCAGCGCCCCCCTGCGGGCTGGCGGAGAAGAACCCAGGCTGTCCAAGATGGTCTGGAGCCTGGAGGCCCTCGGGCACCAGGATGATGGTTTGTTCGGGGAGCTCCACTTCCAGGACCGAGGTGGGATTCGGCTCCAGCAGTAGGTCGACGTCATCCACCTGCAGTTGCAAGGCAGAGCCGGCGGCCAGGTACACCACGGAAGTGGGCACATCGCTGGCGGAACCGTCGGGCTCTTCCAGGCCGGGTGTCACCAGGGGCTCTTCGAGGTCGCCTCCCTCGTCAGGGCTGGGTTCTTGTGGCTGCGGTTCGGCGTCGGCGCCTGGGCTGCGGGGCTGCATTCCCTGCAATTTGGCGGTGATGCGGGGTTAGAGAGGCGCGGAGTGCAGCGCGGATAGGTGCGACGGGGCGGCTGAAGTCTGGCGCTCTGGGCACGAGGGCTCCGCCTAGCGCGGGGAAATCTCGGAGCTCGGGCACGCAAAGCCGGATACTACTCGACGTCAATCAGTTTTCAAAGGGTGAACCGGAACCCAGGTCAAGACGGAAAAGGTCAGGTTAGGCTGCGCCTTCGGGAGCCCGCGTCCTGGAGGCTCCGCCCAGGAGTGTCGGACTGACCAATAGTCTTGGCTGTACTTGGGGAAAAAAAATATTTTTTTTTTTTGGCCTATAGGAAGCAGAACAGCTTTCACCGCTTGACCCACCAGGAATAGAATTTCAAGATGGCTCGTGACTAGAACGCTGGTGGTTTCGGGTGTTCAAAAGAGCACTGAAAAACTTGCGCTCCTTAACCCTACCCCACCTCAGTTAAATGCCACTTAAAATTGCTTTAGCGTTTCCTACCCTGTGTTTAGAGACTGGGTTACGAGGTACTTGGGCCTGATGTGAGACGTGAAGTACTCACGGCTGAGATCATACGTGTCTTCGCGCAGCTGGTAAATCTCTCATTCCGGAGACTGAGGTAAAGAGAATATTGTGTCTGAGGCCAAGATGAGCGGCAGGGTGACACATGGTCTCACAAACAAACAAAAACAAATCTGGCCCGGAGAGGGCTTGATAGGTAAACGCTCTCTTTTCCCTAGCTCCTGATGACGTGCGTTCGGTCTTGGTCCTATATGATGGTACGCTGTGGAACATACGTATACATGGCAAATAAATGTAATAAAAATTCAAAAAGAAGCCGGGCGATGGTGGCTTAATCCCAGCACTCGGGAGGCAGAGGCAGGCGGATCTCTGTGAGTTTGAGGCCAGCCTGGTCTACAAGAGCTAGTTCCTGGACAGGCTCCAAAGCTACAGGGCAACCCTGTCTCAAAAAAAGTAAAAAAAAAAAAAAAAGAGAAAAGTGAAAATAAAAACTTTTTTTCCCCCTTCTGTGAAAGGGTGTCTTATATGTTGCGCTTCCTGGACTTGCTTGTGTAATGGAGTGCTTCCCACTTGCAAGTACTGGAATCAAAAGCCGTGTACCAGAAGTGGCTTTATTCCACGCCTAGAGCTGAATTTAGCGGATTTTCTGCTTGCTCTTGGCCTCTAAACCTGTGGTTCTAAACACGTGGGGCGCAACCTTGGGGGTCCAATGACCCTTTCACAGAGGTCACATAACAGACATCCTACATGGCAGATATTTGCATTATGATTTGCAACAGCAAAAACTTACAGTTATGAAGAAGCAATGAAATAATTTTATGATTGGGCAGTCACCACAACATGAGAACTGTATTAAAGGGTCTCAGCATTAGGAAGGTTGAGAACCACTGCCCAAACTAAATAGAAAATTCCCTTCTCCAGCTTTAGAAAAAGTGTTTTTTTTTTCCTTCCTGATTTTAGTTTTTAATTTTTTGATTCTTCGAGACAGGGTTTCTCTGTGTAGCCCTGGAACTTGCTCTGTAGACCAGGCAGACTCAGGAGATCTGTCTGCTTCTGACTCACAAGTGCTGGGATTAAAGGTGTGTGCTAGCTACCACTGCTGGACCAAAAAAATACTTTAAAAAACGGGGAGGAGGCAGACATCTTTAATAAATAAATAAATAAATAAATAAATAAATAAATAAATAAATAAATATAAAAAAACTGATAGTGATACTGGGATTTGCCTCTAACTGCATGTACTGGCTTCTTGGGATCCTATTCTCTTTGGGTGTATACCTTGCTCAACCTAGATGTAGTAGGGAGGAGGGCTTTGGACTTTCCACAGAGTGGGGTGCATTGCCCTCTCTTAGGATTGGAGGGGGGGTGTGGAGGGGAGTGGGAGGAGAGTTGGAGGAGGGGAGGGAGTGGAAATTTGAATTGGTATTTTTTCTATTTTATTTATTTGTTTATTCATTTATTTTGGATTTTTTGAGACAGGGTTTCTCCGAAGCTTTTTGGTTCCTGTCCTGGAATTAGCTCTTGTAGACCAGGCTGGCCTCGAACTCACAGAGATCTGCCTGCCTCTGCCTCCCGAGTGCTGGGATTAAAGGCGTGAGCCACCACCGCCCGGCTATTTTTTTTTTAAAGTAATAAAAAAAACAGTAAAGTGGAACAATTGTGTACATGCTTCCTGAATAGCAAGGACTGCACTATGATCTATTAAATTCATAATTATTTTGTATATATGGGTCTTTTTTCAGCATGTATGTCTGTGTACCACATGCAGGTACTGTTTTAAGAACTCCGGAAGAGAGCAGTGCATATCCTGAGGATGAGCCACGGTGTGGGTGTTGGGAATCAAACCTGAGTCTTCTGGAAGAGCAGCAAGTGCTCTTACAGGCAGAGGCATCTCTCCAGCCCCCTTTCTTCTTAACTTAATTTTTGTGTGTGTAAATTCATACATGAGTACTATTTTTGCATCATTTCTACCCCTCCCTCTCTCCCTCTAACTCCTCTTGTGTCTGCTCTAAATTTCTGACCTCTTAATTGCTACATGTGTATCTTTACATGTACACATAAATACAGTCTGCCGACTCCATTTAGCCTTGCTTCCATGTTTATTTATTTAGGGCTGATGTCTGGGGTTTGGATAAACTACTTGTGGGGCTTATCCCGGAAGAAGACTGACTCACTGTTTCAGCAGCTAGTTATCGCCTGCAGTTCTTCATCTAGGGGTGGGGCCTTTTGAGATTTCCCTCATCCTCATTGGTGTATCAACTGGTGTTGTCACTGTGCAGGCCTTGTTAAGGTAACCGTAATTTGGAGATTTCATGGGTGTAGATTTTATTTTATTTTATTTTTTTGTCATATGGAACATAATATCTCACAGCAGATGTCCCGGTTCTCTGACTCTTATTTTCTTTTTCTTTTCTTTTTTTTTTTTTAGAGAGCGTGTTTCACCATATATCTCTGGTTGGCCTGGAACTCACTGTGCGATTATGTCACAGAGATCCGTCTCCCTCCGAATCCTGAGTGCTGGGATGAAAGGCATGGACCACCATGTTCACCTGGTTCTCAGTATCTTTCTGCTCCCTCTTCTATGATGTTCCCGGAGCTTTTGTTGTAGAAGTTGTATTGTAGATCAATACAACTTGTATCAATTGGAGTTGAACACTATCTGTTGCAAAAGAAGCTTCATTGATATGGAGTAAGAGCTGCATTTATCCATGGGTATAAGGGTAAATATTGAGAATGCAGCCAGAAGTTATACTGTTAGGAAAGTGACTGTCCTTAGGGTCCACCAGCCATGGTTAGTTGTCTAGTTTTACAGTGCTGTGTACGAATGGCCTCATACTGAGCAGGCTTTAAGTGCAATTGCACTGTTGGTGGTTGCTGCCACGATGCAAATGTGATGATTGTACCCTTTGGGCATATCTCGCCATATTGGTCTCTGTTGTGGTTCATAGGCTTCCTTACATCTCATTAGAACTTTTGATTGCTTTTCTCCAGTGGTAGCTTGCAAGGCATTTCTGGATGCTATGAGTACTAGTCATTAAACAGGAGGCTTCCAGGTCAGTTCCTGCTCGATTCCTGTGTCTAAAGTATGGATCATTTTTAGCAATTGCATTTAACCTTTGAGTTCTGGGAGGCAACCAAGGACAGTGGCAATAACCTATGTTAGTGGAGTCTCTTTAATTCCCTCTCCAAAAACTTGGAGAGAGGTTTCTTATTCTTGTGCTTGGCACTGGGGGGGGGGTATTGTTAGGTAGTCTATTTTCCTGGGATAGTTTATTTAAATTTTGATATCAAGGATTTAGGATATTGTGATCAATACGTGTATGAGATTGATCATTTTTACCCAAAGAAATGTAAGTTCTTAGCCAACTATGGTAGTACACACCTATAATCTGAATATTGGAAGGCTGGGCACATCCTAATAATTCTTAGAATGTCACCTTCAAGGTCAGCCTAGGGCCAAGATAATTCTATGAATATTAATTGGTCTTGTCTGTGGTTAGGGAAAAATCAGGTTTTAATGTAGCTTACATCAAAAGCTTAAATTCCACATTTTCCTTAATACCTAAACCTAATGGCCTCAGGGAATCTTCAGAGACAATTGGTGCATGAGCTGACACACACATATGTATACACATACATATAATGTATAATGTTTTAACTGTATGAGTGTTACTGTACCACATGAGTGACTGGTGCCCAAAGAGGCCAGAAGAAAGTTTTGGATCCCTTGGAATTGCAGTTAAAGATAGTGAGATGTTATGTGGGTACTGTGAATTGGACCTGGGTCCTCTGGAAGAGCTGCCAGTGCTCTTAATCACTAAGCCATCTCTCCAGTCCCAGAGCAAGTTGAGTTTAAAGAACATGTAGTTAGACGTTCTGAAATGAACAAGGCATCAGTGAAGGGAATACTGTCTTCTAAGAAAAACAAGCAGAATTTTGAAAAGGATGAAGCATCAGCTAACTGTAAGTAGAAACACGTTACAATTAAGGCTATGGAAACATAGACAGAGACACGGGGGTGGGGGTGGGGGGTGGGACACGTCATGGAGCAGGACACCATTTCCCTCTTGCAGAGATTGGAGAGAGGATAAGAGGCCTAAAAGAGCAATTTCTATTCTTCACTTTTGTATAGAGACTCGGGATTCATATTCCTGAGCTACATCCCCAGCCCGGTGAGACATTTCATATATTGAGACATGAAGCAGGAATTAACGCAAAGGTGTAGTTCACTGAGTCCCAAATGACAGATTTCTATGACGAACCTCATCCATGTGAAACTAAAGTGAGCAGATTAATTACACAGCCACAGCTGTTTGAACACAGAGACTTTATTCATGATGATAAAACTCATATTTTATTTGTATAATTTTAAACTTTTACTTACTTTATATACCACCCACAGTTTCCCTTTCTTCCTCTCCTCCCTGTCCCTACCCCACCCACTACCACGAAATGGTAAGGACTCCTATGGGGGAATCAACAAGGCCTGCCATATCAGGTGGAGGAAGGCTCAAGCTCTTCCCCACTGCTTCAAGGCTGAGTAAGGCACCCACCATAGGGAATGGGTTCCAAAAAGTCAGCTAATGAACCAGGGACAGATTGCTTGGGACCCCACAAAAAGAAACTACAGAACTGTGACCTACATGCAGAGAACCTAGGTGAGTCCCATGCAGGCACCGTAGTTGTCATTCTAGAGTCCATGAACTCCCAAAGGCTCAGGTCATCTGTCTCTGTGGGGTTGCCCATCATGATCTTGACTCTGCTTGCCTATATCACCATCCTCTTCTTTCTGTTCGGCCCAAGCTGTGCTGTAGATCTTTGCATCTGCTTCCATCGGTTACTGGATGAAAGCTCTATGGTGGCAATTAGGGTAGTCACCAATCTGATTACAGAAGAAGGCCAGTGCAGGCACCATCTCCACTGTTGCTAGGAGTATTAACTGGTGTCATCTTTGTGGGTTTCTGGAAGTTTTTCTGGCACAGGTTTCTCCCTAACCCCATAATGGCCTTTTCTATCAGGATATGTCTTTCATTGCTCTCCCTCTCTGTCGTTCCCATAAACGGACCATCCCCATCCCTTTGTTCCCATCCCCCATTACCTCCCATTATGCCCTTCCCTGTTTACCCAGGAGACTTCTTACATCCATCAGAGAACAGCAGGAAAGAACAGTAACTTGACGTAATGAGAGAAAATAGATGTGATTTCAGAATCCCAAACCCAGCGAAAACAGCACAAGTTAGTAGGTGTCAATGAAACATTTTCAGACATAAGCTAAGATTTACCACATAGGCCATGGAAGAAAGAATTCCTGAGGCTGTTCTGTGCTTCTCAGAGGTGGTGGCTCACGCCAATCATCTTAGCCCTTGTGAAGCTCCAGCAGAAGAATATCAAGTCTGAGGCAAGCCTGGTCTATGCAAGGAAAGCCTAGGTATATAAAACTGAACATTGTAGTCTAGAAAGAAGACAAACGAGGGGCCAGTGGGATGGATCAATGGGTAAAGGTGATCGTGGCCAGACCTGACATCCTGAGTTCAAGTGATGGGACCCACAGAATAGAAGAGAACAGAGTCCTGTTAACCTCTGACATCCACATGGTGGCAGGGCACTAGCGTGCACACACAAGCAAAGCAAATACATAAATGTGTATTTTATATAAAAAAATAAAAAGAATTAAGGAGGATATAAAGAAGGAGTGAGGTGCAAGAATAGAAAAATGAGTAAAGAAACTGGCAACGAGCTTGGAATATTTAAAATCTAATTGTTGATGTTCCCAAAGTAACTTTATGTAGATATGTTACCATTAGCTTTATGTTGATATCTGCTTTATGAGTATTGACTTATTTCATAACAAAATATGAATCAGTTTTGGAATGGGCCAGTAGTTAGAACACTGTTTGCTATTATAGAGGATCTTAGTTTAATTCCCCGCACCCAGATGGCAGTTCAAACGGTTTTTAACTCTGATTGCAGGAAATCCAGTGCCCTCTTCTGGAAAAGAGGCATTCAGGCTTAAATGTGATATGTGTGTGTTTATGTACATATATGTAACATAGTGCTTTGTATATACATGCATACAAAATACATAAACATGTACATGTATGTTATTTTCTTATGTACATTTTAATATTAGTTATGAGTGGTCTGAATAATAAACAAACAACAAGCTAGGTAGTAGTAAAGGCACACAACTTTAATCCCAGTACTCAGGAGGCAAAGGTGGCCAGGCTATTCTACAAAACGAGTTCCAAGAATACCCAGAGGTAATCAATAAGACCCTGTCTCAAAAATAAAAAAAATTAAAAATTAGGGCATTGGTGGCTCAAACCTTTAATTCCAGCACTCAGGAGGCAGGAAGATCTTTGTGAGCTTGAGGTCAGCCTAGTCTTCAGAGGGAATTCCAGGACAGCCAGAGATACACAGAGAAACCCTTTCTCGAAAAAAAAAAAATTATACTAAATTCATTCACGAAAGTATACAATGAGGCCAGACTTGGTGGCATACACCTGTAATCCCATCACTTGGGAAGCAGAGGCAGGTGGATTCCTGTTGGTTTCACCCGGGGGTGATCTCTTACATGGTGAGTTTCAAGACACTCTGGACTATATAGGGAGATCCTTTCTCAAAAAACCAACCCTACCAATCAGCCATTCAAACACTCTCTAACCTCCCAAAGCAGAAAAATCCCAGAGTATAATGACAATCAGAAGGAAATGCTATGGACTAGCAGGGGTGCAGAGGGCCTTCCTGAGTCGTCGTGTGTTCTGTCAGCATGGACTAATGGAAAAGACACCATGGAACACCATGCTCAAAACAAAAACTTCTTAAATGTTACCATGTGACACCATAAGACAATTCTTCCATCATTTCTGCTGCTAACCATCTCTGCTCAAGTATCTGAACCTAAGTGTTACAATCTCCTTAGCCCACACTCCGGTCTCATGTGTTTTCTAACTGTGTTTTTGTGTGTTTGCCAAAGACTCAGGGCTTAACATAGCTCATACATGAAGGTACTCTAATACTCAAGTTTTTAAAATACAATTTTATTAAATTATTAAATCAAACATCTCGACAAACTCTTAGTACTTAACCAAAACCAAAACAAAAGAATCTCACTTTTGTATAGTCAGAAACATTATAAAGTAACATCTTCAACAGGACAAAGACTATCTAACAACTATATACAGAAACATTAACATTCTCTTATAAAATTTAAGTAATTGCATTCTATATCATAGGAAAGTCCCTAACAAAAACACTTCAATTTTACTTAATAATTTCATAGTAAATGTTAAGGAAAAATAAATGTTTTAGATATGTCAAAGGTCACTAATTTCTCAGTAGAGATATTGTTTTTATCAAACCACCAAAAGAAGGTACATAAGATTACTAAAGAAATTAATAAATTTTGTTGGATATCAAATCAACATAAGACATATCTATACTCAAGTTACAATGAAAAACATAAATTTGAGATCTTCTAATTATTCTAACAAAATAGTCTTATAACAAATTATTGTAACATTCAAATTGTGACCCTGGGAACTGGAGAACTATATTAAAAGCATACAAAATGAGATGAAAGGACTTATTTTTTGATGAAAGAAAAGGTAAAACCAACTCTTCCTAAAGCAAAATCAAAATAAACCCCCAAACAACCCCCCACGACAATCAAAAGCCCCATTTGTTTTTTAAAAAAAAAAATAACATGAGCTGGGTAGAGGTGGCACACACGCCTTTAATCCCAGCACAAACGGCAGAGGCAGGCAGATCAGGACTGCACTGCTGGAGCTGCCCAAGGGTGACTCTGTATAGAAAAAGTCTAAGGAAGCAGTAAAGTCAAAGAGCAAATGCAGGCAAGTGTCAACCAGCACGTGATCTGGAGGCGATGATCTTCCTTCCAGACATTCTAGCAACCAACAATCCAATATTCTGCCCAATTCATAAACAAGAGTGCCCTTCTAACCTTGTAGGCTGTGCAGAGGCACTCACGATGGTGCTGGGAGCCAATCTCTCATTTGAGGGGTATCAGGATTGGTGGAGGGCAGTTCATTCACAGAACAGTCTCTTCCTGGCCTTGCATGGGGACCTCGGAGAGGATGGAGGGCGCTGCTCTTGGGGCCTTGGAGGAGGAGATGGAGGCAGAGACTGCAAGGGTGAGCTGGGGAAGGGTCCCAGCAGGTAGCTGTCCTGGTCCCAGACAGACCTTGGAGAATATGGCTCTGCATTAGGGGAAGGCCCTGAAGGATATGGTTCTGGGATGTGGCCCTGAGGCCAAGGACTGGGCATCCTGTTGGTGGAGGAAAAGTGCTCACTTGCCTGACCAGCTGGAGAATCCATCCAGGGTGACAGGGAGCCAGAGTCCTCATCCTCATCATAGGATTCCTCTTGGTAGGAAATTTCTAGAATGAACTCACAGGAGGATACCAGCTGGAGGACTAGCAGGTCCTCCTCTGGCATTTCCAGGCTAGCGCCCCCCTGCGGGCTGGCGGAGAAGAACCCAGGCTGTCCAAGATGGTCTGAAGCCTGGAGGCCCTCGGGCACCAGGATGATGGTGTGTTCAGGGAGCTCCACTTCCAGGACCGAGGTGGCATCCAGTAACAGCAGCAGTTCGACGCCATCCAGCTGCAGCTGCAGGCCAGAGTCACTGACCAGGATCACCATAGAGGTCGATGCATCGCTGGCGGACCCTGCGGGCTCTTCCAGGCTGAGCGGCTCCTGGGGCTCGTGGAGGCGGCGGCGCTTGGCAGGTCTGGGTCCTTGTGGCTGTGGTGTCCAGCAGGGCGAGGGGTCGGTGTCAGAGCTGCTAGGCTGCATGTTCTGCATGTCGACGGCTCTGTGGGGCTGTCGAGACACGGGGTGCAGCGAGGACAGTGGCGCTGGTGCTGGCGGAGCAACTGTAGTCACGGGCCCTGGAGTCCTGGGCTTTATTCTGGTCACACCGGAAACACCCAGGACGTCAATTAAATCCCCAGTGTTGGACCGGAAAGTCAAGTCGTGAAAAGTCACGCGAGGCTCCGCCCCTCGAGCCTCCAATCCACAGGCTCCGCCCAGGACTGTGGGCTGGGCTTTCCAGTAGCCTGGGCTGTACTTGAAAATGCTTTATGCATAGTGCAGCCAGAATATCTTTCGTGTCTTTTATTTCTTATTTTTTCGTTTTCGAGATAGGTTTTCTCTCTGTAACAGCCTTAGCTGAGCTAAAAACTATCTCAGTATAACAGACTGGCCTAAGACTCAACAAGAACTGCCTGCCTCTGCCTCCCGAATGCTGAGATTAAAGTCATGTACCAACACCGCTTGGTTTTTATTTTGAATGTTTTTGTTTTTTCGAGACTGGTTTTGTCTGTAGCTTTGGAGCCCATACTGGAGATAGCTCTTGTAGACCAGGCTGGCCTCGAACGGACAGACAACATTCTTCCCCTGCTTCTTGAGAGCTGGGATTAAAGAGTTCTGAGATCAGCACATCGCCGGCTTTTTTCTTTATTTGACAGATTCGGAATAGTACTTTAATATGGGTGATCTTTAGAATTCTGTTTTCGAGTGTTTCTGAAATTTAAAAGACCACCTAGAATTTACCAGGCTGGTCTACAAAGCTCTAGGATATCTGAGACTCTAAAGAGAGGTCCTGTCTCTTTCCTCTTAAAAATAAAAATCACTGAAAAGAATGCTTCCTCCACTGTCCCAATACTCAGTTCTCATAACTTCAGTGCTTATCAAATTATTTATTTTATTTTCATTTTTTCTGAGAAGATGTCACTGTGTTCGTCAGTCCTGGGGTTGATAGAATGTGATTTCAGCATCATGAGAGGGAGAATCTCAATTTGAGTCCAGCCCGGGTCACATATTGGGACACCATTTTCAAAACCAAACAAGCAGCCGGGTGGTGGTGGCACACACCTTTAATCCATGCGCTTGGGAGGCAGAGACAGGTGGATCTCAGTGAGTTTGATGCCTGCCTGGTCTCAAAAGGGAATTCTAGGCCAACCAGTTCTGCTACACAGAGAAACCCTGTTTGGAGAAACCTGACTCAAAATCAATCCAAGCTAAAATAAATAAATCAATAAAGCCCAAAAGCAAAATAACAGAAGAAAACAAGAACAAAACTCTCCAAGCATGGGTTAGAATGCTGGCTCAGTGGTTAAGAGCATGTGCTATTCTTCCAGAACACCTGGGTTCAGTTCCCAGCACCCAAATGGCAGACTAACAGTCATGTTTAATTCCAGTTCCAGGGTTTTGATACCTTCTTCTGAACTACACTGGCAACATGCAAGTAGATGGTGTACAGACAAACATGCAGGCAAAACATTGTCACACACTAAGATAAAAATAGATATATTCTTATTTAAATATATTTTATTTGTTTTTTTATGTATAAATTTGTCGGTTTGAGAGTGTTGGATTCCCTGGAACTGACTTTTACAGACAGTCGTGAGCTCCCATTTGGGTGCTGGAAATTGAACACGGGTCCTCTGGTAGAGTAGCCGGTGGTCTTAACCACTGATCCATCTCTTCAGCCCTATTCTTTTTAAAAATTGTTAAAGATAGACTTAATGTGTTGCATGGTCACCTAGAACCTGACCCCCAGGGTGGTAGAAGTAGGAATTCGAGCCTAGAGGTCAGTCCCAGTTGAATGAGCCCCTGTACAAAGAAAAATAGGATAAGGGAAAGAAAAAGAAAGATACAGTGAGCCGGATAGATAAATAAATTTAACCCCCCCCCCCAAAAAAAAAGTCTGAAAGTTTGGCAACTAATGCTTTTAATTCCAGTTCTAAAGAGGCATAGGCAGATGAATCTCTGTGAGCTTGAATTTGGCCTTATACTACGTAGTTTCAGGACATCCAGGGCTACACAGAGAAACATGTCTCAACAAATAAACAATAACAGAGAAAGAAAGAGGGAGAGAGAGAGAGAGAGAGAGAAGGAGGCGACTGGCTGTAGTTGTACACCCCATTAATTCTGTGAGAGACATGAACATTTCTGCAGGTTTGAGATAGGCCTGGATTACATAGTGATTTCCAGGAATCCATAGAAAGACTGTTCTTAAAACAACAATCAGAAGAAAGAAAGAAGAAGGTATCATTGAGAGCATTAAATATTGAAACAATATTAAGCTGTCAATGATGGCACATACTTTTAATCCTAGCACCTGACAGGCAGAGGCAGGTGGATCTCTGTGAGCTTGAGGCCAGCCTGGTCTACAATAGCTAGCTCTAGATCACGTTCCAAAACATCAGAAAAAAATTTGAAGCACTAAAAATAAAAATTTAGTATTCTAAGTATATGTTCGACATTCTATTATTATTTAGTTATATTTTGAAACATAAATTATCCATGATCCAATGTGTTATGTGGAGGTGGATGACCTTGAACTTCTGATCCTCTCCCGCCGCCCACCATGCTGACAGGAGCACAGGGTTGCCCTGCCCTATTCGGTTTCAGTTGTGCTGGGTTGTGGACACAGTGGTTATTGCAGCTTATGTGAGTGTTCTCCAGCCAAAGTGTATCTCCATCTCCAACTGTAGCATTGTTAAAAACCACACATTTCAGCCCCCAAAACACCTAGCGTTTAATTTCTAGTTTAGTTACTGTGGGAATATGATGCAGACGTTTATTTTACTTTAAACCAAAGACACATCATTTCTGTCTGATAAACTCCTGTGAGAAGCTCACTGGTACTTTGCGTGCCTTCTGAATTAACATGCAATGTCTCCCCCACCTTCTCCTTCCTTCTTCCTTTTCTTCCCCCTTTTCTTCTTCAAATCAGTATTAGGGATCAAACCCTGAGATTTCTGCATTCTAGGCAGCTGGTTGAGCATCTAGCCCCACCTCTAAGCCCTTTGCCCTCACTTTAATGTATTTCCCAGTTTCCATCCTTGTCAGCTCTGTTTCTTTCCATTCCATTTCTTGACATTGCTCTGTAGAACAGGTTCGCCTTCCACCCTTGATTTTTTGGCCTCAGCCTCCCTTGTAGCTGGTCAGAGGTGCTCACAGGACTCAGCCTAAGGCTTGGCTCCTCTCATCAATTTAGTGCTCCCTCCTACTTCATTAGCTGTTGACTCTGTTATTGTCCCTACTTGGAATTCTTTCTTAATCACAATTTCAGACAGCTTATTCTCAGAGCACCCTCTTCTAAAAGCCCAACTCAGTCTCTTAAACATAAAAGTTCTATCACATCTGGGCGGTGATGGCACACACATTTAGTCCCACCACTCAGAAGACAGAGAGGCCAATCTCTGAAAGTTTAAAGACTGCCTGTTCTATAGAGTGAGCTCCAGGCAGGCTCCAAAACTACAGAGAAACCCTGTCTTAAAAATAAAAACAAACAATCAAATAGCAGGCTTCATGAAGGCTGTGTTTTTGGATATATTTCATTAACAATATCATTGGGCCCTCTCCCCTTCTCCTTGAGGGTGAGTGGTCATTGCAATCACATGTATCCACGTGGCCAATTGGTATTTGTAGAAAGAATCTCAGTTCATTTGAGTGAGGACTTCATTCGGAAAAAGGCATTTTTATTTCAGAAAAAGATTTGCGCTCGTTGTCCACACTATCCAGCCACTTTCTATTATCGTAGCAAGGAGTCTTGACTATTTAAGAGTGGCTCTAGTGTTACAGATCAGAATGTATTTTCTGTGGCAATGTAGGCCATACTCAAAAAAAAAAAAACCCCAGAAAATATAAACAAAAGAATAATACAGCAAATACCAGCACAAAAAATATACAAACAAGTCAGACAGCTGCGTATATGCCTCTTATCTCTACTCTAGAGAGGCAGAGGCAGGTAGATCTCTGTGGGTTTAGGCTAGGCTATTCTCCCTACATGGTGAGTTTCAGGACAGTTACAACTATATAGGGAGACCCTGTCTCAAAAAAAACCAACCCTACCAATCAGCCATTCAAACACTCTCTAACCTCCCAAAGCAGAAAAATCCCAGAGTATAATGACAATCAGAAGGAAATCCTATGGACTAGCAGGGGTGCAGAGGGCCTTCCTGAGTCGTCGTGTGTTCTGTCAGCATGGACTAATGGAAAAGACACCATGGAACACCATGCTCAAAACAAAAACTTCTTAAATGTTACCATGTGACACCGTAAGACAATTCTTCCATCACTTCTGCTGCTAACCATCTCTGCTCAAGTATCTGAACCTAAGTGTTACAATCTCCTTAGCCCCAACCCCGGTCTCATGTGTTTTCTAACTGTGTTTTTGTGTGTTTGCCAAAGACTCAGGGCTTAACATAGCTCATACATGAAGGTACTCTAATACACAAGTTTTTGAAAAACAATTTTATTAAATTTTTAATCCAACATTTTGACAAAGTCTTAGTACTTAACCAAAACCAAAACCAAAGAATCTCACTATTTTATGATCTGAAACATTATAAAGTAACATCTTCAACAGGACAAAGACTATCTAACAACTATATACAGAAACATTAACATTCTCTTATAAAATTTAAGTAATTGCATTCTATATCATAGGAAAGTCCCTAACAAAAACACTTCAATTTTACCTAATAATTTCATAGTAAATGTTAAGGAAAAATAAATGTTTTAGATATGTCAAAGGTCTCTAATTTCTCAGTAGAGATATTGTTTTTATCAAACCTCCAAAAGAAGGTACATAAGATTACTAAAGAAATTAATAAATTTTGTTGGATATCAAATCAACATAAGACATATCTATACTCAAGTTACAATGAAAAACATAAATTTGAGATCTTCTAATTATTCTAACAAAATAGTCTTATAACAAATTATTGTAACATTCAAATTGTGACCCTGGGAGCTGGAGAACTAGATTAAAAATATACAAAATGAGATGAAAAGACTTATTTCTTGTTGAAAGAAAAGGTAAAACCAACTCTTCCTAAAGCAAAATCAAAATAAACCCCCAAACAACCCCCACGACAATCAAAAGCCCCATTTGTTTAAAAAAAAAATAACATGAGCTGGGTAGAGGTGGCACACACGCCTTTAATCCCAGCACAAACGGCAGAGGCAGGCAGATCAGGACTGCACTGCTGGAGCTGCCCGAGGGTGACTTCTGTATAGAAAAAGTCTAAGGAAGCAGTCAAGTCAAAGAGCAAATGCAGGCAAGTGTCAACCAGCACGTGATCTGGAGGCGATGATCTTCCTTCCAGACATTCTAGCAACCAACAATCCAATATTCTGCCCAATTCATAAACAAGAGTGCCCTTCTAACCTTGTAGGCTGTGCAGAGGCACTCACGATGGTGCTGGGAGCCAATCTCTCATTTGAGGGGCATCAGGATTGGTGGAGGGCAGTTCATTCACAGAACAGTCTCTTCCTGGCCTTGCATGGGGACCTCGGAGAGGATGGAGGGCGCTGCTCTTGGGGCCTTGGAGGAGGAGATGGAGGCAGAGGCTGCAAGGGTGAGCTGGGGAAGGGTCCCAGCAGGTAGCTGTCCTGGTCCCAGACAGACCTTGGAGAATATGGCTCTGCATTAGGGGAAGGCCCTGAAGGATATGGTTCTGGGATGTGGCCCTGAGGCCAAGGACTGGGCATCCTGTTGGTGGAGGAAAAGTGCTCACTTGCCTGACCAGCTGGAGAATCCATCCAGGGTGACAGGGAGCCAGAGTCCTCATCCTCATCATAGGATTCCTCTTGGTAGGAAATTTCTAGAATGAACTCACAGGAGGATACCAGCTGGAGGACTAGCAGGTCCTCCTCTGGCATTTCCAGGCTAGCGCCCCCCTGCGGGCTGGCGGAGAAGAACCCAGGCTGTCCAAGATGGTCTGAAGCCTGGAGGCCCTCGGGCACCAGGATGATGGTGTGTTCAGGGAGCTCCACTTCCAGGACCGAGGTGGCATCCAGTAACAGCAGCAGTTCGACGCCATCCAGCTGCAGCTGCAGGCCAGAGTCACTGACCAGGATCACCATAGAGGTCGATGCATCGCTGGCGGACCCTGCGGGCTCTTCCAGGCTGAGCGGCTCCTGGGGCTCGTGGAGGCGGCGGCGCTTGGCAGGTCTGGGTCCTTGTGGCTGTGGTGTCCAGCAGGGCGAGGGGTCGGTGTCAGAGCTGCTAGGCTGCATGTTCTGCATGTCGACGGCTCTGTGGGGCTGTCGAGACACGGGGTGCAGCGAGGACAGTGGCGCTGGTGCTGGCGGAGCAACTGCAGTCACGGGCCCTGGAGTCCTGGGCTTTATTCTGGTCACACCGGAAACACCCAGGACGTCAATTAAATCCCCAGTGTTGGACCGGAAAGTCAAGTCGTGAAAAGTCACGCGAGGCTCCGCCCCTCGAGCCTCCAATCCACAGGCTCCGCCCAGGACTGTGTGCTGGGCTTTCCAGTAGCCTAGGCTGTACTTGAGAAATGCTTTAGGCATAGTGCAGCCAGAATATCCTCCGCGTCTTTCATTTCTTATTTTTTGGTTTTCGGGATAGGTTTTCTCTCTGTAACAGCCTTAGCTGACCTGAAACTATCTCAGTAGACCCGGCGGGCATGAGACTCACCAATAACTGCCTGCCTCTGCCTCCCGAGTGCTGAGATTAAAGTCATGTACCAACACCGCTTGGTTTTTATTTTTAATGGTTTTGTGTTTTCGAGACTCATTTTGTCTGTAGCTTTGGAGCCCATACTGGAGATAGCTCTTGTAGACCAGGCTGGCCTCGAACGGACAGACAACATTCTTCCCCTGCTTCTTGAGAGCTGGGATTAAAGAGTTCTGAGATCAGCACATCGCCGGCTTTTTTCTTTATTTGACAGATTCGGAATAGTACTTTAATATGGGTGATCTTTAGAATTCTGTTTTTGAGTGTTTCTGAAATTTAAAAGACCACCTAGAATTTACCAGGCTCGCCTAAAAAGCTCTAGGACATCTGAGACTCTAAAGAGAGGTCCTGTCTCTTCTCTCTTAAAAAAATAATCACTGTAAAGAATGCTTCCTCCACTTCCCCAATATTCAGTTCTTGTAACGTCAGTGCTTATCAAATTATTTTATTTTCATTTTTCGGAGAAATTGTTACTGTGATCGTGAGTACTGGGGTTGATAGAATGTGATTTCAGCATCATGAGATGGAGAATCTCAAGTTTGAGTCCAGCCTGGGTCACAAATTGGGACACCATTTTCAAAACCAAACAAGCAGCCGGGTGGTGCTAGCACACACCTTTAATCCCAGCACTTGGGAGGCAGAGACAGGTGGATCCCAGTGAGTTTGATGCCTGCGTGGTCTCAAAAGGGAATTCTAGGTCAACCAGTTCTGCTACACAGAGAAACCCTGTTTGGAGAAACCTGCCTCAAAATCAATCCAATCCAAAATAAATAAATAAAGCCCCAAAGCAAAAAAAAAAAAAACAAAAAAAAAAAAAAAAAAAAAAAAAAAAAAAAAAAAAAAAAAAAAAAAAAAAAAA